GGCAATACGGCTTCAACAGTAGGGAAGCAAAAGTGCAGTAGAGAGGGTTTGTTTAGGACTACAGTAGTGCTAGCAACAATTGCCAGGCGAATGTAATAGCAAAAGTAAGAACAAACTTTGCGACGAATCCTCCCACTATCAGAAATAGGTGGTGGAAGTAAGGGTACTCACATCTGTGGTTATTGTGGTCTGGGGTCGACAGAACGAGTTCCGCCATTGACTTCGACATACAGAATATGTCTGTCGAAATAGCAAAATTCGACCACCGCCTTTAAGCATCTCTGTTGTCGTTATAAGCTGTCAAAATTTCAATCCTCTTATCGCTAACATCTAATAAAAGATGAATGTTAGGACAAGGTGGTCGAAAAAAGCAGTTGTCATCTCTCCACTCCTTCCTGCTTGAACTGTGGTCGTGGATTACAAAGCCTCTTATGAAACCATTTGACTGGGCTGTTCTACTTTTGCCTCTTAACCGAGACTGAAGGTTGAATTACTTCTAACGATCAACATAATGTGGGTAGTCTGCACAATCATCTGTCCGTAGTAGGACACAGTTTGTTGGCGTGATCACCGACACGAATAGGTTCATCAAGGCCAACACCAACGTAGCAGCACAACAAACTCACATCACAGAACTTCACATTCTGAAAAGTGCGATGTCATTAGTGAGAAAAGATCTAACTGTCATTCCACATTCTATGATTAACTCCAGTTTCTTGACAGAAATAGGAGGTGGAACTAAAGGTACTCTCAGCTGTGGTTACTATGCTCTGTGGTCTGCTAAGCCTCTGCATAAACAGCGACAACAGCCATTCCATTAGCAAAATCCTGTTTAATGCTGCTGAGAAAGCAACTTCCTCTCGTTTGTCCACTCTTGTCTGTCATTTGGAAGTCTATTCATCGCGAGTCTCCATAATTGCACTGATCCTTTCAAATGTGATGGGGGAAGAAGTGAAGCAAAACTCGAAACAATGTTGGAAACCCTGCAAGGCAATAGTGGTAGCATAAGAACGTAAATGAGAAAGAAGTATGAGGCTGGAAATGAGAGCCCACAAATCGCCCAACTGATGATAGCGCACTTAGACCATGGGCTACGATGTGCAAGGCCTTAAATAATGTCATCCATCCGTAGAAGTAAATGTCTGTCAACCAATGACTTTGCAATTACAAGTTCTATTTCTACTCGTTACGAGTGAATTGTGAATCGCTCTTCTCTGCCTTTGACTCAGCCCAGGTTAAGCATGTCTTTCTTCCCCACTCGTGTGATATGATTCCCGCGTGATCATTGACGCTGACTAACCCAAGCATGAAAAGAGAGTGGTCGCTTGCAGCCTTTGGATCGGCCTATGAAAGAAAGGCGAAGGGAAGGAGATGTAAAATAGGGTAGAGGTAAGGCAGTATCGTAACTTCTCCCTTCACTGCCCCTCTCTACTACAACCATAATTAGTACAAGAGGAGAGTGGCTTTGAGACATCTTCATTGATTGCCATACCATAGGGACAATAATGTGTTAGGATGGGGAGAATCGTGCGATCTCAATGGATGGATCCTGTCTCCCCCTTTTAAAGTACTAACAAACCTCCAAGATTGCTTCCAGCTGCACCGCAGTGTGATTTCCTTTCTCCTACATAGTCTCATTTGCGAGTAATAGACGAGTGTGGAGATGTACGTCGTGGACGAGGTGATTCCCGGGCCAAATAATACCTGCCATCTGTAGCGAACCTCTTCCTTATTGGTGGTTGAACTTACAGTTACTTAGAAGTGCAGCAATCGGTGCACCCATTCTCTACAACCTGTCTGTTGTGATATTTCCCTCATTTGGCATGAGACGCTTGTGAGAACCCGTTTGTGTTTCTCGTGTCCACTTTCAGATGCAGTATGCACTGTGGACTCTAATTTTAAGGTGCGAAAGCACTTCAAATGATGATACACCAGTGCAAGTGCGTAGGTCTGCACATGAGGACGATGCATCGTCTGCCAATAACCCAAATCTTGAGCTAATGCCTCCAGAATACAAATGTCTGCATTAGTCCAGTGGAGGTGCACAGCCCTCGTCCTACTTATCCACTACCTTACGAGTGCATTCTCTCCTTAACCTCCCGACTGATTGTGACATGAGGTATGAAAGTGTAGTGGGAGGACTCTGTGAATTCGATACAACTGCCATGTCCTACTTAATGGTGGGTTCCAGGCTGTCAAATGTACCCGATTGTTGATGGCATATTGCTGTAGTTTAATCTTTTATGTCTTCCAAAAATGTGAACAGAAAGTTGAAGGAAGTGCAGTAAATGTTGCCTCGCTGATGAACTGATGCCTCTTCTCACAAGCCCTTACAAGTTGCAACAAAGCATTCCACTTACTACCACCCTTCACTCCCCTTCTGCAGCCCTCCTTGCCTATCTGCGACTAGTCAAATTATCTTGTGTAGAGACAGTCTGATTCTGACAATTTTGTGATGTAGGGACTGGAGACTTTCTGGGAACGTTCCCACGTCGAAATGGACCAATGCCAATGGTTTGCACTTCATACACACGTCTAGACAGATTTCAGTTCATTTTCGATGCCCACATATCATTCGAAGACCAAAAGCGGCACAGTACACGATCTCGTTCACCTCTTGGCGTAGGTACTGCGGCGTGGAGTAAACTATGGTTTAGCTAGAGTTTGTTGAGATTCCGTTTGCATTCAGTGAAATGAGCACATTTCTTCGTTCTCTCAGTTGACATATAGTTATGGATTGTCCGAGGAGACAAGATGGCTAAGACAGTTCCACCTACCACTTTCTTCCCTCGCGCCACATTTTACAACCTCTAGTGGACCTCTGCGCATCAATGATGACAAGGTGAATGACCAACGGAAGACGTTTGATTATGCTTATCCAGATTTGTGAAGTTCTGTGTCAGAAGGATGTGTAATAAAGTGCATCTCAGTCTTGTGCAGGCACCCACAGTCGTGGTGTAGGGAGTTGAAAGAGCCCACACCGACCGCAAGCAGCCTCGAGATCACACAACTTTGCAAAAAGGGTTTAGTAGTGGATGATTCCACGACCGGAGGGACCCCCAAGAAAGGAAAGTCAATAAGTAGAAGGGGCATTTGTTAAATGGCCTTCAGCCTTGGGCAGCCCCTCAGTCAGTAAATAAACTCAATGCAGTTCACACACTGCTGAAACAATAAAATTGACGAGAAGCATTACCCATGCCCGCCTGCCTTTATGCAATTTCATTGTTGCGCCTTCACGCCCCGGGCGAAGTTCCACCATTATCTCAACTTCACAACACAACTTCACACGCCTAACTCAGCCCCTTGTTATCCCCTCACCCTCCACCTCCCACCTTTTCCCAGGCATCACCTTACATCCGTCCTCTGTGCTCATCATGCTAAGGAAAAGGCAAATAAGAAATAAGTAAAGGGTTTTGAAGAGGTGAGAAGAGTGACAATTGTTTCCATAATGACAATAGGAGAAGGGTAGTTAATGTGAGTGCAGAGTAGCCGGTGTCAGAGGCGTTACAAGGATTTAGTAAATTTCAAATTCAACCGGGTAGTGGTCGCTTACCTCCTTTGCCTAAAATCAAAATGACACAACAGTTAGAACCCACTGCATTTTCGCATAGAGTTGAACAATATCACCGTTAACAACTGATGTCAATTTAGGTATGCGAGATTGTATTAAACGTGGCGAGAAAGGAACACCCAGCAACTGACCTTTTCTGGTGACAACTTAAAAGTCTTCTCAAAGTTGGAAGGGCGCGCAGAAGGGATTCGCTTGGTGAGTTCACTGCCCCTGACTATGACCCTATAAGTCACGATAAAGTCGTTTGGCGTTTGCGCATGCATTGATTCCTTTTCACGATTTTCACCTATTTTAGCATTTCTTCGTTCCTCCGTCAGTAATAAGTCGAACGCTTTGCATTAGTATTTTAGCAGGTAACTTGCAGCTCTGATTCCACAGGTACTTGAATGTGGGCTTTTGTACTTCCGCCGACAGACTTGGCCTCCAAGCCATGCCAGTGGCCTCCAGCTCCTTATCTACATCCTAGAATCGGGCTTTTCATCCTAAGAAGGATTCGAGGGGTTGCATTCATTCGTAACCCTTTAAAGTGGTGAAACGTCCCTAGTATCCAAAGCTGACTCATAAACTAAACCAAACCAATTCGAACGAAAGCTGGTAGCCTTAAGAGCTTTGACTCGGATTGCAAAACAACTTGGTCGCCAAGAATGGCGTTCGTAGGCCAGAGAACCCAAACACTGCATCAGAAGTCTCTCTGGTTCAACGTTCACAATTTTCCGCAACCAGTTCTTCCTCTAGAGAACTTTGCTTTGCAGATGATGCGCATCTCGAGAGTTGTCTCTCAAAGTGATTTGCAAAGGGCCAGATAAATATTGTGAAGAAGCGGTACAACAATGGTGACATTTAAAACCACCGGTAGGTGAGGCACTTCATAGGCTTGTTATAGATCAAAGGACAAAGAAGTGATTTCGGCTGCACACATTCATCAACCAAACCAGACACCCAAAATGACATCGACAAATCGATGCATTTCCTTCAAATGGAGAGCAATTTGACGCCAGATTTGCTGAGGCATGCAAGCACGCCGTGGCAGCAAGTACGAGGATGTGAGTGGATTGAACAAACACCGTAGACAGCACCCCACATGGAAAAATTAAGTGCATTTACGGGGAATAATTGGTAAACAGCTAACAGAATGGAGAGAGAAGGTGGAGAGAAGCGCAACTTCTTCCAACTTCTCTCAAAGCATGGTTCACTTTTTGTGAGCAACAAAAGACCACTTCATTACATAAAGTGGGAATAACTAACGCGTCAGCAGTAATAACTGAATGACAAAGGGAAGTCTCTGGACATTTGCCCAAGTCTTCTCCGACTGGACTGGACTAACTCGTCTGGATGGAATATGAGCCTACAGCTCCAATTATATCAGAGTAAAAAAATCAGAAAAAAGGCACACCCAGCATACGAAATGAGGCTGGGAAACGGCGGCGATTCAACTAGGCATACTGTCTGTAGTTACATCACACATCAAAACCAACCTGTCATAGGCACAGTCTGACTTAGCCACAGTTGTGTCCATTCCGTCTGTGATGAGCCACCTGTACTGGTAATCGGTTCGTAGATGCAATGCCTCTCGAGCTTGTTTGGGAAGGTAACTGCAGTCAGCGTTCATGTCACCCAAAATGACCAAATTCTAGGGAGATTAGACAGCAGGGAAGGTGAAGAAATAACTCGGTTCGCGAAACTGTCATCAAAGAGTAGGCGATAGTTTAGGAGAGGGAACACCTGATTCGGGAAATTCCCTTTCATCATCGTGCCATGATTGTGTTTCCTCTTTTAACGTCTTCATTCCGCATGCGCTCCTTGCTTGAGATACCTCAACCACCTTAGAGTGGATTGGCGGTTGTGACATCCCTTGGGCGCTTTAGCCATGCTACTACACATCCTGATTTTAGCCACCGGAGCAGAACGCGTCTTTACGCAAATGAAATGCCCTTACCGTAGTGCGTGAAAATCGCTGACACTCCTGTGTAACAGTGTAGAGAGCTTCCATCTCCCTCACCACATCGTCTGGGTCGATGTGGACTGCCAGGGCTCCCATCTTCAAACCGGTCTATTAGAAGAAACTGACAAAATTCAGTTCCAGTAAAATTGGCTTTAAATGAGTGTGCAACCAGTGAGGTTCAATCTATCACAGTCCACACCTACTTCATGGGGTACTTAGCAGTTTATTCACAAATATCCGGTCCAAGGCAGAGCCGACTTCCAATCTCGGGCTCCCTATCATAGCATCTCCGTGTTCACCTCCAGGTCCCTCTCTAGGCGGCGATGTTAATGCTCGATGTTGGCATTACAATGGACTACATCACTGTCAAATACGGCTCTACTACAAAGGTGATTCACCAAATGCATTCCGGTTGTAGAATAAGCGAGATTAAATTCTTAAAAAGTTGTTGCTGAAGTTTAGCGTCGACTGTGCTTGCCAACAGACGCATGCATTGACGGAGTTCAAAGGTAGTGCGCGATTTCGTATAACGGTGTCACGCCTCCGATGTCTCCTCTGATCTCTTATTTACTCACCTTCTCGTCTACAATGCTGTGACAAGGTGGGTGTAACACTTAGACTCCTTGTTAACCTCTCTGTTTTGGTGTCTAAGACACTGAATGAGTCACGTTTGTTCAAGCGCCACCCACCGTGACACCTGAGACGTCAGTGAGTCCCAAATGGTAAAGATAATGTGAATCATCTCATTATTGTGCTCTGTAGGGATATGAGTGACAGCTAATGCAACACCACGGGGGAGGGATGCACGCGAAGCTCCATTTTTACTTTCTGTCTTATTTCATGGGACCTCTGTTAGGCTACCGCTCCTACGAATAAGGATAGACATTGGCGACTGTTTCGTGAGTCCTTCAGCAGTACTGACTACAGTGATGCGATAAAATTGATTCAAAAAGCACCAAAGACGAAGTCCAAAGAGGGAGAAAGGATATGTCGTGTCTTGGTCGTTCATTCAATTCTTCACTTTGGTTTAAAGTTGTTTGAGGTTAAGCAGTTTTACTCCCACCTGGTCTAATGCCCTCCATGAGATAAGTCAGTGCCCCTCAGTCCCCTGTCCATCACCAACACCTTGTCTACTCCACTTCTATGGCCTTCGGCTTTGCATGAAAACCCAAATTTCTGCACCATGATAGTGACTTTAGGAAGGGGATGAGAAGTTTGGAGGACGCATTCAAACGCACCTCTTTAATAATCAAGCTAAAGCAGTCCGGCGGTCGTTCAAACGACCTTGATTTAGTCCGCATTGCCGAAGTCCCAACAAGCCCAATCCTGTCCGGTCTAAAGGCATGCAAATCCGTTTTTTGTAAACTCCTCAGAGGTATATGATCAGTAACTGACAAAAGGCAAACAAGACGATGGAGGATCTTCAGACTTACGTGGATTTCGGAAGAGTAACTAAGTCGTACTAAGTGGGAGGAAGTGAACTTTTATGCAAGAAATATGTTGCTATTCACTCAGCATCTTTTCTTGTATGCTTGCGTCTCAATGCAAATGCACAAGGTAACGGGTTATTTTAGAGAAATTAAGGGTTGAAAAAGATGCTACAAATTAGATCTATGACTCATTTCTTCCCATAACAGATCAAGTCTATCAAGAATAATGTCTCAAGTTACCGATAGATGAATCCGATCTGTTCTTTGGATGAGCTTCTTCCCTTCCTTGGTCCCAAATACCCTTTGTACCTCGCTCTACAGTTTGAGGAGGGGTGGAGAATGTAATTGGTAAGACATCTTAAAAAGGTTAAGTCATCTGTCACATACTTGTCAGCTGGTCACAAATAGGGACAATGATGATTGTTTTGGATAAACACCTCTATAACATCCAACAACGGTGCCAACTTGACCATTCAGTTGTTTATGAGTGCTCAAAGCCAATGGCGAAATAAGTTAAGGCAGAGACTTAAATTCAGTGTTTTTAGTGAGCTTGAGAAGCCCTTCCTGAGGGAAATTTGAGATTGGAGACAAAAAAATTTATTACTGTAGTAAAGTGAGCAATTGCTTTGACTCTCCCAGTAGTGGTGGTTTTCAAGATACTCTTCTTTGATGTCCCATCTTAAAGTGGTACGGAGGAGCACGTCTTCCATCAAAAGCTCTGTTACTACTGCCATAATTTTGCTTCATACCTCACCCACTGGCAGGTGAATAGGACAGCAGTGCATGAAGCCTCACACTTCACCCTCCTTCCACGACGTCGGTGCGTCAACTTCTCAGACTATTCTCCGCATTCCATTCTACGGAAGTGGAGTGAGAGGCATCGTAATAACTTTACTTTCCTCTTGATATCCACTGTGCGTGGCTGGCACTCTGCTGCATTGTAAATTTGGCAGGTGAGAAACTATAACTCTGGTCGCGAGACAAAGAAGTGAGAAGTAGAAGCTCGATTGCTTTTGTTACTACTTCTTGCTTCACCTCTCAAAGCACATTCCACTCGGACAGGCGCATAGGACAAGTAAGTGGAAGGCTTTATGGCATAAGACATGTTCGTCTAGATTTTTTCATCTTCTACCACAGAAACCTCCGTTTTGGAGTAAAAGAGATGATGCTCTGGAGCCCAATTTCATGCACCACAGCCAACAGTAGTACAATCTAGCAGCTCTAAACAATTTACATTTTGGAGCCCACAAGAGGAAAACAATCTATTTTCATGCTTTTCGATCCTCAAGTTGCAAAACCAGACCGCAAACAACTGCTGTGGCGGTTGGATTGCAAGGCACTTAGAATATCTGCCACATGTCAGCCCGTTCAAACGAATATCCCCTTCCTGTCGCCTCTTCAACGCCACCTTTCATGTCTCCATCACCACATCAGCACTTAGATGAGGAGTTGAGAGGTACATCAGAGCAGGAGTAAGGATTGTGGAAGTTGATTTATTGCTAGAAGAAGTGCATAACAGTAGGTGACAGCATCGCAATTCAACTTTTGTTTCAACATGTACATTCGTAGTGAAACACATGTACGATACCTCCGCCATTGCTCAACGAGGTGTATTCATCGCAGACAGATAGAGCCGACTCGCCTCAATGTGAAAACCGCATGAAGGGAAGGGCCAGACACACAACTCCACCCGCATGACACCTTGTGTACTCATGACATTTGCCAAGTGGATCTAGAAATGGCGATGAGCTTGTGCAAGTGCCAACACACTCCCTGCCCTCTAATAGAAGAAGTGAATTCAAAGCCACACAATGTCAGTTTGATATTTTCTCAACCATTTTCACGGAAACATTGGTGACTGCCTAAAGCGCCAATTACTCCGTGGTGACTAGCACAGCAGATCGACCATCTAGAGCACCGTGGACAACACCCAAAAGAGAAGAGAGGTTATTTGTTTACGTGTTTAAGCCTTACTTCAGATGATCTGCCACTTTGCTTTTGATAGGTGGGTTTCCAACATCCTAAGCAATACATTTGCATGCATGCACTCCGTCCGGGTATGGTGCCTTCAAGACCTCCATGAAAGTACTCAAGTACGCTCATGTGATGTAGACAAACCAAATTGCCCTAACTAGGATGTAGACCAATGGATAGTTTGAGGGTGGAACATTAGATTTAACGCTGGCCTCAGCGTACTATCAAGGAGCAGAGTGGATGAGGGGTAACCCCACCAACTGTTTAGGCCTTCTGCACAATCAGACTAGGGAATCGCAAAGATTCTATCATAAAGAAAGGATGAATGATATTTCAGTGAACATCCTTGATACGCACAAGTCTTGGAGGAGGGCGGGGGCAGGGGTGGATGAACCATTACCGCATGCTTATAAAACATCCTTCTACTTGCAAATACTTTGGATCATAAAATCCAGAATAATACTCAGGAGATGTGACTGAAGGTACTTGGCTGTGGCCTTCAAAGGAGCAGTGCGATGTATCTACTGCCCTATGCCCATAATGCACGGGTCATGTGACCCACATATTGCGACTGTCTCGAGACTATATTAATTTGTCGTTTATATTTAGCTAGACTTCAATCCACAAGGCGCATACAACACTGTGACCGCATATTCCCACGTTTGCTTTAACTCACTCTGACTCCGAAGCCAATGAGGAGCTGCTAAACTAATACAAATTTCCTAGTGATACAACTAGGTTTGGGGATTTGTACGGATGCAACACTGAAGAAAGCACTTCTATCATTTGCTAGGTGAATATAAAACCAGCTTTCGTTTAGTGTATGAACTGAAAATCAACTAAGCAGACTACACGAGAAGCGATGACACTGCAAGTCAACACATAAAACGGAATTAGTAGGAGATAAAACACAAAGGTTTACTCACTGGGAACCGGTATTGACGGAGCTTAAGAGCTTCGAAAAAGCTCTTCCCGAAGAATCCCTTACCTCCAGGATGAACACACCGTCATACTTTTGGATAATCTAGAGTGAATTGACACACCAACACAACGAGCACACCAACCTTAGTAAGGACATCCATCACTTCGCGTTTTTCAGACTTCCTCCTACCAAAAACTTGAATGTTGAAGGCAGCAACTTTGACCTTCTGTTCGGAGGGGGCTGGCAATCCCAGCACGCACACAAGCAGCAATAGTGAGGAAAGCATGAATGCCATCAAAGGGCATGGTGAACACCTGGGAGCTGGGCTGAAGGTCACCATCAATCCCGCCTGTGCACTTGTAGGACTACGCACTGTTATCATTGGCTAACGCTCACATTAATCAGTGGTTTTATCACCAAAAGTGATACACAAGGCTTCTTATAAGGTTCTCATACGACATTCTACTCCACCTGACTGATACACTTCATGTACGATCAAATCGGTAAGCCAACACAGAGAAGCGAGGATCGCAAGCCTATTGCAAACGCGATCATCGATGAAAGGCTAGGACTAAGAAGACAGAAAAAGTGACAAGGAGGCTCCCCAACCTTCTAACTTAAGTAAAGGGCAGTGCCCACAATTGCCATGCCTTTTGTGTTGTGCATTATGCAGACCTACGCCATGCAGTTCGGTGAGGGTGTGCCCAGATCTCCGCCTTAAATACCGATTGGTCCTCAACAACTAGTGAGCAATCGCGTCAACAATCTGCCACACCCACAGCAGCCACAGCGGCGTGAGGCAGTGACGGTGTTCTTTCGAAGACTACGCAATGTTCATTCGCTTTGCGTTGCAACTATAAAACAAGTACCGAAGATAGTCAGCAAACTGAGTAAAAGGAGACCATACTCTAGTAGCCTTCGCCTCATTACGAGTCAGTAAACAATGCACCACAGATGATGCTGCATTCCCTTGACTTAAATCTTGTCATATAGACTAACAAGCTAGACACATCGGCGACCATGGCACACTCACCTTTCCCTAAACAGCCACATGAATCACAGTATTGGTTCACACCGCCTACCGTCAATAAATCCAACGCAGACCCCGTGTACCTCAAAAGAGTCGGCCCCTCAAAAAAACCACCGAGCAGCCTTCACACTACATGGTCGAGTGAATTTAATCACACGACTCATTTGTTTGTGAACTCACAAATAGTCGCATCATAAGTTCGCCGATGCACCCGCGCTCATCACACCAACACTACTGTACTTTTGAAGTGGAGTGCGCATTAATGCGACGGCACTAAACGTGTCTCATCTGCCCTACCACGTTCAGATATCCATTCCATATGCGAACCTTGAACGAAGTGATGCAAAATTAAGCCAGAGGGTGTTTAAACAGTCTGATTTCTACGGCTTCAAACAATCCACTTTCCACAGAATATCCAAATTCATTCGTGTAATCGGTCATCATCCAACATCATCTTTGCGTGTATACAGAATTTACAAGGCTGAATAAAATCCAGTCATGCAGAAAAAAGGAGTTTACTTTGTCTATTAATCTCTAACATGCTTGTAAAAAAACCCTTTCGCATGAAAGCTACATCCGGGGACACCATAAGAAAGTCGAGGACAACGATGAGAGGTGAGGATGAAAATGGTAGGGCCGAAATGCAACACTGGGAAAAGGGAAAGGAGAAATAGCTACCACTGCTTCAGTCGGGAGGCGATACTGGCAGTCACGGGTTGGGTAAAGGTAAGACCCGAGTCATATCGAGCCAAGCGAGCGAAATGTTCAGGCATCCAGCGTTGAAGAACCCCAAGAGCCCGATTCAGCTGCTTCAGCCAGCATTCCATCTCCGCCTCCGAGTCCGCACAGATCAAGTGACTACGCACATGAAGCGGGTAAATTAGCATATGTGCAGCCTTGAGCTATGCACTCTGATTGCAGAAAAGCACCATTTTTGAATATGCAATCAAGGGTACTCTAACTCTGGTGTAGACAGCCAGGAGAAACTAAGGTATCAGCTGAATGCACTACAGTGAGATCATAACCGGAGATCAATATTGTGAATGATGACATCCAACAGAAAACCACTGGAGTAGGGTAAATCTGTAAAAGCCGATGTAACTCATACTCGTATAATTCTCTAATGTCACCCTTGGTGAGTGGAGCATTGCGCTAACAAAAGATACTCCATGACATCTTGCCCTAAAACGATAGACTTTTAGTTCCTTGCAAGAATATTTACATTCAGAGATGAAACAATCCAGTGAAGCATACCCCAAGCCATCACAAGTCTGATGGAAGTGCTATCCGATAGGCCGTGTGGTGCGGATGGGTGATTTGACAAAAGAGTCCGAATTAGTCGTTACAAGTGGGTTCTGATTTCTGTCTTCTCCATAATAATATTAATAATAATAATAAGTTTAAGATACGGCAACACCATAAGACCATGGTAAGATACCATAGTTGGTGGATGGAGAAACTTATTGCAGGATCATTAACAACAGTGGATGCAGCAATCATGATGGAACTTGCACCATTTCTGTAAAACCAAATCAAGACAATCTGCTGCTCTCCTTGCAAGCAGACAACTAGTGTGTACACAGCTGCACTCACCGCTGCTCCATCCACTTGTAGTCCGACGAGGCACGTAAGAGAATACTGACAGCGGGAACAGAACTTTGGTTGGAGGCTTGCTCCCCATCACCAGATGTGGCACCGCGAAAGAGCATCTTTGGATTCACCGCGACCAGAGAACGCATGTATAAGGTGTTAGAGCGTACGCAGATCTTTTGAGGCGCCTGCACCGCCCACGGCGCAACGATACGACGCAGGTCAAGGCGACCAATTGGAGCTGCTGCTGCGGAAGGTGATGCAATAGCAGCCTCTAGCTCGTCTTCAGGGTAACGCCAGAAGACCAGCTGATCAACGGAGAGCTTGCACCAACAACGAGTCCACACACCCATTCCACCGGACTCATCAAACACCGTCTAGTGGTAGAAGCAAAAGAAAAGACGGAGCAACTTACAGACTGAAAGGAAGGCGATAAGACATCCCATATCGTCAGCAAACGACTAATCTCTACAGCAGCAATTATCGCAAGCCCATCGATCGTCTGCCCGCCACACGCCCAACGCAGGCTCGACATTGACATCGAGTTCCTCATAACGTGCCTATGTCAACGAGGGAGCTGCGACCTTATGTATTTGCGTTATTTACCTTCGACGCTCCCGACGAACCACAAACAGACCAGTCCATGCAAGACGCTAACATTACCCATTCTTAAAAAGCAATATCAAGCCTGCCACCTTTGAGATCTTGTCTATGTCCCCAATGCTAAAGCATAAAACTACGGCTAACCAAAAAATTTTGTTGCAGAAATGACTTTACTCTTAAAGATAAACCAATTGGAAGACGCTTCCAGTCCTGTACATGCACAGCAACTTTAAACAACTTCAAAATACTGAAAAATGGATTTGTATTTTGCAACCTTGTTATAGAAACATGGGATGTAAACAATCAAAAATTGACTCTCTTAGTGACGGATCACAAAACCAGAAGCTCTATGTTCTTACAAGAGTAAGAAGATTCGGGTTATTACTCACCGTTTATCACCACATGAAAACAAACATTACAAGCCATAAATTAAAACCAAGACTCATCGAAATCACAACCTATAGTACGTCAATTACTACCCAATATGCTTTGGTTTGTCAATGATTTTAATTCAAACCACCATGGACAGCTGATCTCAACATCATATCCAACTCTGCCTCACCATGCAATCTACTCGAGAACCTGCCGGCAGTTGCCAACGGTTATTCCAATTTCGGCATTAGATGGCGCAAACGAATAACCATTGAGACACTGACGGAATCGCTATAAGGTGTAGTTGGATGCGCATAGTTTGATTAAATGAACCACGCCGCTTAAGCACAGTTGCTGCAGTTCCGGTGGTCTGCCTTAATCCCAACTGATTTCATGCAAAAACCAATACAACAATTTGATGGAATGAAGTTGACCGAAAACCTACCAGAAATCCCCGTTTAAGAACCGCCGATTGTAGCCGCACCGCGATGTCACTCAAGCCAAGTGGACCCGCAAGTGGGGAGGATCGAGGAAGTCCATCTAGGAAAAGTGGCATCTCTACCGTCCCACCGTTCTCCTGTCCTTCAGGTGCTGTTAATGTGTATGGTCCCCCCGTGATGTTCGCATCGTCGCCTCTTACGGCCCCCGACCTTAGACGTGGGACTCGACCGAAGAGAAGGTCGTCGTGATGACGAAAACTCACCGAGGAGAGCATAGTAAAGGCTGTGTGCAAATGAGAAGTTTCTTAGGCTGATGCACATCCAGGACTTCCGGATACAATGATTGACAAGTGAGATATCCTAACGGTCAGATTATTTAACGCATAGCATTTTCAACTGCTATAATTTATGAGATATAAAGGTTCCCAGGGATAGATAGCAAATGACTCGAAAAACTACATACCACTATTACACCGCAGCCACGATTACACGGCCAACAAATAACTCAAACTGAAAGGGGACAGTTCAGAGTAAAGCGATCAGAAAGGATCAAGAAATTGCACTGCTCTTTTGAATATGCTCTGTGAAATTGGTGTCAGCCCAATGATCTAATTCTCGTAGACACCCTAATTCCAAAAATTCTCCAAAGCATCCTCGCCACTGAATCTCCCATAAAACTTCAAAAGGAAATGCAGCAATCCTATCCATTACAGAATATTTGCTTATAAAACTGTCCAACAAGCTATCTTGCTCACCGGCGGAGAGATCAATTTCCTCCTTTGGTTGTGATACATAATACTTCTTTTTCTTCGCTGAGAGCAACAGGGAAGTCATGTTGAACCCACCACACTTCTTGGCAGATGAGGTAATGGGTGATTTCTCGAGGATAGAAGTATTGGTTCTTCTCGATACCGGTGTTTGCAGACCTGAAGGCTGGTAGCGATCCGTTGAGGCACCACCACCCCCACTACCAACACCACTGCCACCTGTCTGTAGGCAGTAGATCTCGATGTTGATGACAAAGTCTGGACGTAAGGGCACGATCTACACAGGAAATCAGATATTAATTTGGCCAAGCATAGCAGGTGTTTTAGCTAAAACCTCCATCAGCGACAAAATAGACTGACTGATAGGGCCAAAAATGACTCCAGAGAGATCAGCATGCTTACATCAATATCTGCCAGGAGATCAATGAAATGGGCTGCCCGAACAGTACCAGGTGGAAGGTCAGCCACTCGCATGAGTGTTACTGTCTGGGTGTGGTAGATCCTCCCCTCACCGACGCATCTATGAGACGAAATAGCAAGGGTTAGATGATGAAAGCATTGATGCATCCTAAGTTAATCAAGAACTCCGAAACTTAGGAGCCAATAAACCGAAGTTTAGCAATTCCAGGCTGAGCAGGCAAATGACGCCAAAGTGAGTCTCAAAGGGTTAAACACACCATAAATTAATGAATGGATGATTTGAAATGTTAGCGATGGAGACTTGCGAATGGTTCATAGGTGAATGAGTGAGCATTTGAGTGAGAAGATCAAGGTTACGTAGATGGATAAAGGCTTTTGACAGGACTGAAAATAAAGATGAACCCATGAACGATTGGTAGATAATAAGCATATAATTTTTGTATGGGTAGCCAGAAGCATTCAGGATCGATAAATAAGGAGATCGTATATGGCCAAGTTAGCTAATTAAGACTATGCAGATTAGTGCCTTTAGTGGTTTTAAACCGAATACATATACCTATGAACGCTTTTGTCTTATAACTGCATTAACCTCAAAGAGGGAAAACTAACTTTAGCACGGCAAGGATGTGATACTTCACTGGCCGCCCGCCATCCGCAGTGCGCAGCCTATCACCCACTCCAACGACTACATAGCCGCCGCCACCGTCAGAGGTGGGTGGCTTAAGCGCTACCCGAACAGCGTGCAATTGTAGCCGCGCTCGCAAAGGCTCTCCGCGCATCGGCGGCACAAGCACCGGCGAACCCTTATGCAGTAATCCCAACTCCTCAAGCAACGACTGCCGTCGCTGACCTACAGAATTTACACAATATAGATTGCTACTAAAAGTAATGAGTAGCAACCAATTACCGGAGGTCAAAATCATCAAAACAGCAAGCTGGTTTTATCGTGATTACCTCAACAGCCATGACACGATAATCCTCCATACTAATTCCGCTGACATCCCATAGTTCCTCTACACTTATATTCATCTTCCCCTCAGGTATGTTACACATCCTTCAACGAGGACCTAGACGGCATAATGCCAAAGCAAAGGAAAGCCCCGTCTCACACTTCAAATGAGGTCAACATAAAACCTCCGAAAAAGCAAACCAAACACGTACAGTAACTCACGTAGCAAGTAACCTTTAGTTCCCTTTAGCATAGATAGCCGTTCCTGATAACTACATCTGCGGAGAAGAGCTATTGAAACAAGGTCAACAGTTAACACATTTCCCCATTATCAAGATGAAGAAGTTGACAACCAATATATTGGGATTCAGTTTCAGCAACTCAAAATTACTTCTTAGTTGACTTACGACAAGTTCCAATTTCCACTATGTGAATAAATGTCAGACTTTAGTCTAAGAGACTGACAGTAACGCAGAAAACTAGCTACTCTATACGGTGAAAATGAGGAGCTTGATAAATCCGTTGAGTCGTTCCACGTTGTTCATCATACAGCCTAGCTGCATGGGGCCGTCAATGTTAGAGAAAAATTTACTGACTCGTAAACAACAATGAGACAGATTATACCACCGTTTAAAAATAATAGCCTCGCTTTGCAGTTAAAACAGATACAAGTCCTTCTCTTCTTTACCACTGGAGGTTCCAATGCGCCAGAGAAGTGACCACATCTAACCTCAAAAGTGGACTCCATCCAGCACTCACATGCCAACAAGAAACGCAAGTTGAGATCCACCAAGGAGGCTTCGTTAGCAGAAACAGACGCTCCACTGATGCTACCGGATTTGGTCGATTTGCCAGTAGTAACGGCTCTGGCAGAGGAGTGCAATTCGGTTAGTTGATTGCTTACTTCCATTATTAGCGACTTCTCGCGAGTTATAAGGTCGGCAATATCCTTCATTCGCTCTAATCTGCGTAATGTGATTGCCTCCGCCGCAGCAATTTCTTGGAAGGAAAGAAATAAAGGATAACTGAGGTGCCCAAACTCAAGAGATCACAGTTCAGCAACGGTACCGGTGGAGAGAGGATGCTTTGGTTCCTGTGGATTCAAAATTTTCCTAAGTCTACATCCACCCGGACATTACATGAGTTAAGAATAAAGCTTCTTTTGTACTATGGGTCCGTGTCACACTGTCAAAGATGGATGTAACACTATACAAATGCCCGTCCATACCAGTATTGCTGCGTGACGGGCGCCCTTTCCTCGCAGCAGGCGAAGGCGGACAATCGAAATCGAGAAGAGCTGATGCCTCCCGGCTGATTCGTCTCTGCGCATCGGACGACTTTCGACCCCTTGAGGATGACGGCGAGACTAGTACACCGGCAGGGATAATGGAGGGGCGGGCGCTGGTTGGCTCAGAGTTCACCGAGTCGCTATCACCGCTGCCGTCATCAGAACTTACAGAACTAGCTCCGCCAATACTACAAACCTCACCAGTATCTGAAATTGACGCTGCAGATTTGTCACCAGCTGCTAAAGAGGAGCGCTGAGAACGACTATTTCGACTGAGGCGATCAACAGAGTTGGCGAGACGTGCGGCACTTTCGAGAATACCAAGAGATCCTAGAAGGAGAAAGACCAGGCCATCACTGAGTTCATAACTTTTAAGGCCCTTTCAAAAATTATCCTACCCAAAAAAAATGAAGAGACAGACTATTACAAAACAATAATGATTTGAAACTAACGGCATACTTTTGATCCGAAGTTTGAACCACCATCAAGTTTACAAAATGAAGATCAAACAACCCACGAGGCATCTAATTTGATACTTAAAACTTCTGTTCAACGACTCAAAACCAAAGGTTTTATTTAAAAATAAACTACTTCGTTACACTCCCTCACTTACTCTTTCACACGGCATTTTCGTCGAAAATTACCTTACAGTTACGTCGCTATTCGGCACGATGGTAGAATGGAACGTGCTATTGGTTACAAATGGGCATTTCGAACGCAGAAGAAGCTTAAACTCAAGAACAAAGCCTAGCGATCATGTAATTTGACCATGACAGAGCCATCGTCTCCATTAAAACGTGACTTGACTGCATGCTCTTTGCCCTCAAATTGTGTGATTCCCCAAGAAGGTTGGAGAACCCCGCCCCCAAAAGCCGATCACTGGATTTTCAAGGAAGCTGAGTAAAGAAGACCATGTTAGAGATACAAACCACGTGTTTTGGCGCTGCATCGGTGCCTAAATCACCTTCCTTTTGAAAAGCTAAGTGATTAACAGATTGGATTATAGTGATTGCGACTATAAACTATGGAATGAGATTTAACGTTAGTGAAGCCTTAAACATGGGCGTTTGTTGATGGATCCAGAAGCCCGAATGAATTGGAGTCTGACTAATCCATTCATAAGTGGCGTTTAACCATCTTAAAATTAACGAGATTCGATAACTGCAATCCTTTTCTAAAGTAGAAGATTCAGAATAAGAAATGGATGTGAAACCGAAAAACGTGAACCTAGCAAAATAATGGCAGGCCAATTGCCATAGTTAAACCAGTGAAACGTTGGGAATCGGAAAAGTTTAGATGAATCTGCCAGTACCTCAAAGTCATGGCATCCTTTTTTCCTGATACCAAAGGCGCAGTAAAGGAATACATTCTTGGCTTCAGACCTCGCCTCCTCTGTTCCAATCCTTAAATTCCGTGAAGTTTGGATGGAAAAATACAGAACGAAGGAGGGTGCGCCTTAGCCAAAATCAGACCTTTTATGGATCAACATTAGGCGAAGATGAGAGCCATCAAGACAACCATCTCTTGCCACCTAGAGTCTTAAGCAAGTGGCTCCATTTTCAAAAGAAGTAGAAGAGAAGATTAGACTAGAAAGCTCAGTTTTTAAACCAACCGTGAAAGTACTTTAAGTAGCACTTAAAATCAGATTTTCCTTAGAGGCCAAGGCAGTGCTAACAGCTGGCAATTCTGAAGACGGAAGGGTAGAAGACTTAAATAATCCTTAAAACAGAAACTTTCTAGTCTAACAGTTCTCAAGTTAGATGCAGATGTCGATATCTTTTTCAAAAAAGAACTCGAGATGGAACTGAAGATAACAAACCTATCCTCACCCTCACCTCCATCAACATACTTATACCGCTCCTCAGGATCACTAAAGATGGAACTTCTTCCTCGTAGAGAAGAGGAAGGGGCGGAAGAGGCAGAGGTTCCAACAGACGGTACGTCCCCTTCAACCTCTGCCTCTGAATCACCAGGAGCGGAGCCAGGCTTCGGTTCGAAGGTGACGGAGCGCTGGCGTGGGAGCTGAGCTTTCGCTTTCTCAACTGGAGGACTCTCATTAAGGTTGCTTGAATTTGGCCAATTTCGCAAAACGCCGCGGGTGAAGCCACTGCTAGCGCCGAGTCGTGGTCGGCTGTAGTATCGATGAGAAACTAGTGGCTGTGCCGTCCTTGGACACTCGGGAACTGTAAAAGTAAAGCTTAAATACTCATGCGCTTTCCCAAAATTGCAATAACCTTCCAGCTTAACCTAAAATATCAACGTCCTGGGATTCGACAAACGAACGATGCGAAGCTCATACTAACTCATGTCTCCTTAATCTAGAGATATGCCATCGAACTCTTACTCAACCCACGAAATAGAAACAAGCAGCAAGTTGCGAAGCAAAATACAGATAAGCCATAACTGCACAAACCACCTACGTTTTCGACTTTTACTCGCCATCTCGTTATAGTGACCGATCCAGGACTCAATTGATAAAAATGAGGAGCCGTGAATGCGATGCCAACGGGAAACGCGTTGAGAACGGGTGTAAGTTATCACAAACTCACCAAAGTATTCGTGTTTGGGAGATTCCTCGAGATCGATAAAACCAGCCGATTTGGAATGGACGTCTTCTACATCCGAAAGTTGAGGTGGAGGTGGCAAATCCGATGGAATGTCCGCCTCAGGAGCCAACGTCTCATCAATTCCGGTAGGAGGTGGCTGCATAGATAAGCAAATGTTTGAAAACGGAAACCGTAAGGATCATTTAATTTTGTTCAGTCAATGGCTAATCACCGGTAATTCAGGGTTCTCGATGCCAGTCGATTCTGTAGCTAAGTATTCCTGCAAAGACAAAATACCGACGGCTGCAGACCAATTAGACTACTCATTCTACCTGACGAAAATTCGCGGGACTTACGTCGATATTTGAGACTTTCTTGGAAGCACTGGCCTTGAATTTACTTGAAGGAGTAGGAACCTGTAAAGAAAACACGATGATCAGTTGGCCGAATCAAATCTCCAAAAGGCATGGAAAGAATGCAACAACAACCTGAATCTGTCGAAGTGGTCTTTCCAGACCTGCTTCCACAGTTTCCTTGATCATAAGGCTTTCCCAAAACAGCCGCAATGACGATACATGCGCCGGGGTGACGGTTGCAAGGCTCTCCTGGCAAGAAGAGGATGGTTTCAGTTACTATTAACCTACTCTGATATTCGTCTTCTTTGAAGCACAATCAGGAGTCTCTTCAGACTGGGCTTTCTGGTGCTTGGTATGCCACAAATCGTCCTCCCACTTCCGTATCTAAGATGAAGGAGGATGAAGTTGGCAAAGGCTTCTACCTCATTGGCCAAAGCGGTATACTTTTCCTTCGATACGTAAGAGGTACTTTTGTCCATGTCACTGGAGCTAAATTACCTTGATTAGTTAGCTGATGGCAAACCTGAACAGAATGACATAAAACGAAACAGTATAGGTTTAAGTGACAAGGAGAAAGAACAAGTGACTACACATTAAACCAGAGAAAACTAACATAAAATCATCAAGACCCACACATCAAAATAAATAAAGCTATAGACCAGTAGCGCGCACGTATTCGTAGTAGGTGTAAATTATTCACAAGACGATTTAAGAGACAATACAATGAATGAAAGTTAAGGTACATCCTAATGCCAGCATGATCACAGCCTTTACAGACTACGATCACATGCAAATAGCTAACCTGAACAATGTCAAAAAAAGAAAAAGCAACAATCAGAACTTTGCACCAACCCTTTGCGCTTGGACCCGCTAACGGGCATGCGTCCCGAAGCCAACACCGTACTTTCAAATTCAAAATTTCGCCAGTTTAACGCGCTTACTTTATCAACATTGTCTACATTTTTACTTTTAATCCGTAAACTTAACAAAACGTGCGCGAATCAAATTATTTAGGATATTCAAATTATCTCTGCCTCAAGAGCAGCCAGTTTGCATCTCTGTTAAGGTGAATAAACTAGCCTTCGCACCTGCCTAAGCACAACTCAGAATAACGCGGACTGTGCCGCGACTTCAAGCGCCACTTCGGAATCGCACATATCCCCACCGGGTAGCTTCGCCCACCATGACAGATACGTTCGAACCTCCCAGACCGCGGACCAGGACCCCACCCCAGCCATTCAGCGTGCACCTCCGACCAGTATCAACAATAGGTTATTTCGTACAACTGTAATTTTTACATCTGAACGGATAACTATTTCTTCTTCGAGGCCTTCTTTGCCAATTTCGCCTCCTCCTGCTTCTCCTCGACCATTTTTAGGAATTTCGGATCACGACGATCAACGTAATAGCCGAATCGATCCCGAGCCTAGGAGAGAGAAAGGAATTAACTCCATAGCTGAAGGACCACAAATAACAAGACGATGTAAAACGCCTTCTCAGAAGGTGATTTCGTAACTACTACTTTCAATTAGAAATGACAGATTCAATGTTTCTATGGGACAAATATTTCAAGGAAGAAGGATTCAAAGAAAAGGAAACAGGCAAGCAAAATAACATCCATAAGAGTGCCTTAAAGCCCTCTTAATTGCAGTACTGAATTATTATTACTATTATTTAGTTCAATGTATTCGAGACAACCAGTTTGCTCCCTTAAAAGTGGGAAAATTATAGCAGAAAACCGAGTTCTCAACTGGAAATCTGAAAGTCGAACTATGTTTGATTCCAGATGCAGACTGAAATTAATTATCTAGAAACTGATTTCAAGCCAATCACTAAGGTATTCACACCTCTGTAAAGATGGGGAATATCCGTACATTCACGCAGTGTGCAGTTGCCATCAAAAATAATGTACAAACACAAGGATTAGATGTTAAGAAAGGGAGTAGATGCTAACTCAACGATCGATCGGATTTCGAAATAATTGATCAAAGTGATGTACATCTGCGCTCAACTCAGCGCCATAGGAAGGAAATGCATGTGAAGAGACATTGAAAAAGTACTTTAATAAGATTAAAGTTACTACGCATTTTTTCCTTCGTGGCAAGCAAAACCGTGAAGGCAGCACCACTTATGTGCGATATTTAGATTTAATTTTCCTAGTTCTAGCATTGTTCGATAAAGTAAAATCTTAAAAGACACGAAAACAAGGCGCAGATCCGGAATCACAATAGCTATTGATCTAATTAGTAAAAGTAAAGCCACTTTTAAGTAATTCAAAAGTTATAGACTTAACGCAATTAAACACAACAATGGAAAAGAAACATGCCTCCTCCAGAAGTTGTCGCCTTTTCCCTTCCTGAGATCGTATCTCCTGTGCCTTCTTCTCCTGGTTAGCTCGATATTTTTCCATGATTTCAGGCAAGCGCTCCAGATTCTCCGTGATTTTGCGAATCCTTTAGCAAGCAAAAGGACGAAGAACTGGTGAGTCACAAATGAAGGGGAACAGGGAGTAGTATCGAACAATTAATACTTTTCTTCCTCCACCTTCGCTTTCATCGCCTTCTCCTCAGCTTCCATCCGTTTAAACTCCTCAATATCTGGCTCCAACCGTTTTCTTAATTCATTTTCCTTCGCCAAAAACTCACATGAATCGAATAGTGTGCACGGGTTGACACCGCTTGAGAGTCCACAAACACCAAATAATCGCCGCTGATAAGCTAATCGCCGCTCGTGGTCGTATTTGACTGGAAGTGGGACACGTCTATTTCGAGCAACAAGATGGTGAGGAAGCCTATTTATATCAAACGCCTTCAATTCATGCGGAACAACTTTGGTCGATGACCACTCACTCTCCCACTGATCTGTAACAGAGGGATACCCCTTACTCAGGTTGTCATAGTCGGTGAGGCTGAATGGGTCGCGCCATCCTGGATAGTACTTCTTGCTTCGGGATGGGATAGAGAGAGAGATGAGCTGGCGGCACGATGAAGAAGTGGGAAACATTAAATGGAAATAGGAAAACTAGAAGTAAATAAATGCAGCAAAAGCAACACCCTGGCTAGTGCTATACGTAGTACTATAACTCAAGGCCAACTCAACTACAAGGCCAAGTTGCCATCAATGAAATACCTCATTCATAAAGTAAGGCAAAATAAAGTAAAACGCATCTACCAGCTTACCTTTAGGCTATGCGCTATCTGAAACGCAATATATGTTACAAACTAGTTGTGAGGATTCAATTCAAGGGAAATGTTTGTTGGGCTATGAATACCATTTCTTTATAATTTATCTTCCAATAAAATGACTCTATGTTAACATAAGGCGAGTATTGCAGCGACGTAAGACTTCCCACCTGGAAGGAGAAGGCATCACGTAGAGTCTTGACATAGCTCAAAGGCATCCTCGCATACAAGAGCAAGGCAACTATCGAAGCAACCGTCAGACATCTGGTGATTGCATAATAAAGCAGTTCACTACTCATCTCTTTAGTTAAGTAATGCTCTTGGCGTCGCCCTTGGGACGCTGCTTGGTCCCTCCAAAAGTCTCAACTGAATCTGATATTGCATTCTGTCCGAGGGCACAAATCGTAAGGAGGGCATTTTGTTAGCCAACAATGGTGTCCATGACAAGATGCTGGAACATTGGTCCAAAATGGATTTTTACTAGGGAAGGGGGGTTAAAACTGTCCAGTATGGAAAAGACTTAGCCGTAGTATTATCTCTAACATCTACACGTGATTTTTTATAAAAAGCTACTTTAGGTAGTTCATGGAGGTGTCATTTCAATTGTTAAGAGCCTTCCTGTGGACTACAGAAGCAAGGTGGGGCTTAAATGCACACATCATTCCAAAC